CAATAAATTTAATATTTAAAATAAAATAAAATAAAATTTAAATAACGGAAAAGAAGCTTTAAAAAAAATCCTCCTCCATCTTCTTCAGCATTTTATGGAAACAGCATTGGACCTGAAGGAAGACTCATAAAAAAAAAAACCTTCAAAAAAATAAAAAAGTACTGGACCATGGTGGCAGAGAACAGAGGACTGCAAGATGCAGCAGGAAATACCCGCTTTGCTGATTTTCTGGCTTTTAATTTTCCTGCACTATTTCCTCAAATAACATAAGACATTCTCATAACATGGGATATTTGGAAAGGCCTGGGTATCAATCCATGCAATATATATTGCTCTCACTGACTCACCTGGGGAAGCATATCAGGCAGTTCATATTAGGGTGAAGTCACAAGTTGTTTAGAAGAATCCAGAAATTCATAGCCTTTGCAGTGAAAAGCATGCATAAATACGAGCTCTCCTTATCTACTTTTTTAAAGTTCAATTCATTTTCAGAACTCTCTATCAAAGGGAAACCCTTACATTTAATTTCCTAATTGGAAAAATATGAAACATTGATCAGAAATTAATTTCATTGCTAAAGTCATGATTATATACTATAAAACAATAAAGGGATGTATCTGTATGAAAACTATTTTTATAAAACACATTTTAAGAGAAAGTAACTTTTTTTTATTACAAGTTACTGACTTTTTTTTTGCGCTTAGGATCATGAAAGCACACAATACTTTGAAAAGTTGACATAACTTTGCCTTACATTCACAAAATGCTCCCCAAAATGATAAAGCAGAGACAGACAACAGGAGCCATTACAACCACAAGCCATAAAACTTTTATTATATGGAGTGACTGCATACACTTAATGGATTCAAATAGCTGTTATTACAGGAACTTACTGAAATCCAAACTATTTCCATTTAGGTCAGCCATGTCTGTAAATCTGTTAATTAGTCCTTTCTGCTTAATTGCATTATAATTATCACAGGCTTATCTTAACTATTCACATTCAAACTATTCATGGTCCAGGTACATGTCATTGTCCAACAATAAAAATGTATTTATTCATTTTGAGACAAACATTTCAGAAATTGAGAATACAAATCAACTTCCTGGATTTGTCTGGTCCTACAGCAGCCTAGTTCTATTCCCCGTTTTCCTCCATTCTTTGTCCGAATACATTTTTTTTTCCTCAGAAAGAAGAGAAAATTATCTGAAGAGAAATCCCTTTTAATGAGAAACAGATTTAAATAATAACAATAATAATAAATCTTAGTAGACCTTCTTTGTGATATGTACTTCAGGGGATTATTCTTGTTCTTCATCCCTAATATGGTAAAAACATAGATCAATAGAAAAAAATGACATTTGATTAAAATGTTTAAAGTAACAGCAAACAAGATTGTAATGCATCCTTGTAGTGTCTTAGTATCTATTTACATATCCGTACTCTTCAATACAGGACCCCTGCTCCCCTCACAAACACACGGTGTCACTCTGTTAATGTTGCCTGTTAATTACAGCTTCATGTCTCCATTTGTCCTTCCTTACTTAGGGGCTATCTTCCCCCTCCTCCCCTGAATGTCTATCCCCGCAGTAGTAACCTTCATCCTCCCTCACCTCATGTTTTATAGCTGCTTTAGAACTGGCTTTGGCTTTTCTTACTCCAAACATCAGACCCTGGTAAGATGAAACTTCTGCAGTATTAATACTGTCTCTTGTACTTAGGTATCTTTGTGAACTCTCCATGAATTTAGAATGTCATGCAGCCTCCTGAGATTTGTATTCTTGCCCCTTTACCATAGGGCCCGACCTAGCTTTGTAGCCTCATCTTTAATTGTCTACGTATGCATCTTAACTTTCAATGAAAATGGAAGTTTTAATTGAGTTGGTTACTCAACTGGAGAGTGTGATCTACAGTTACCCATACCTACTGACATAGTTCATTTGCAACTCCCATCTCTAGAAAGTTTCCCAGTTACCCTCCCTCCCTTAAATTATGTAACTAATCCTCTCATATATGTTTCTTGGTAGTTCATCTTTATACCTTCCCCATTGTATCTAAATCAGGACCTTGACAATAGAAAGTGCTGCATAAACATTTTGAATTAGGTTATGTCACTTCTAAAATGCAAACACAAAAGAGGCACAACTGACCTTGTATTTACTAGAACCATGTCAATTGTGTCTGAAAACTCCATCTGGAATGCTTTTGACGGTGATTTGGTAATGGTTTCTGTGACTTTACAGTGGCTTGTCAAGGGCTCCATAACAGTCAACAATATTGACTTGGAATACAATTTCACATTTTACAATTATGGGCCCCTTGATGTGAGAGTACTATCAATCATTCTTCTTCTTCTTCTTTTTTTTAATGTTTATTTATTTTTGAGAGAGAGGCAGAGTGCAAGCAGGGAAGGGGCAGAGAGAGAGGAAGACACAAAATCCGAAGCAGGCTCTAGGCTGTCAGATCAGAGCCCAGTGCGGGTCTCAAAACTCAGGAATTGTGAAATCATGACCTGAGCTGAAGTCTGACGCTTAACTGAGCCACCCAGGAGCCCCCGAAAATTGTTTTTCAAGATGGTCAAACTTCCTGGAGGAAGAGACCGTCAGAAATTAGACTGCATTTGCTTTGAAAATAAGTTCGTCCCGAATTCTTGTAAAAAGAGACTAGCTGCATCTTCCTCTTTTTATTCTCATTTTTAGAAATAACAAGATTTGTACACCTTTCTGATCTACATATTTAAATCAAACTGCTCAAAATGCCACTTGCTTTGAAAGCAAAGTGCTTGTTTCCATGATATATACAATGAATGTATATAGTAAAGCATCTTTCATATTTTCATCAATTTTATTTCCACTTCTTAATATTGCCAACATTTGAAGCCAAGTTCATGGAACACCAATGAGAACATCCAAGCTATTTATATTAAGCATTTTAAAGTATTTTAAAATACAGTCATGCTCAGATAGAGTTGAGGAATCCCAGAATTAAAATTGCCTTCATGAAAATGAACAGGTTATAGCTTAATACACAGAAATAGCCATAGTACATTTTAGTGAAGTGTTTTATTCTCCATGGATAGTTCATTTTTCATTTATCCATAAATGAATGTTCACATTAAGAATATCCATCAATACTCAACGTTATAAAAATGAACGCGTGAATAATTTGTACGTGAATATATACATGGCCAAAGTTTAATTTGGCTCTCCATTCAAAAAAGGTAGTGTCGGTGGATATTTTGGGCATTACCAGTCAATTCATGCTTACTTTTTTTTCAGAGGTTTATAATCAAAGTAAAAAAAAAATCTGATTTAGCTAAGGAACACACAATGAAATGTATTTAGATTTAAAAAAACTATATATTCTAAAAAGAGAAGTATAACCATGTCAAAGCCTCACTCATGTATTCACTAACCAGTTGGGGGAATTTCTGTACTAAAAACTAGTGTCAAATGCACAGGTGTGAGCTTCCTCCACATTCCGTAGGCTAGGCTTTGATCACAGCACTCTTTATCCTCATACTTGCTCCTGGCAATGGAAACTATTTTTAAAGGTTATTACCAAGATCACTTTGGTGATTTCCCCCCAAATTAGATGAATGAGTATGGAGTTCTTAATAAACAACTGATATGCCAAACTATTTACAAGAATGTAATGATTAAAGCCTAAATTTAACTCTCCTCTTCATGAAAGAGGCATTTGGGAAACTATTAACCAACAGGCTTTACACTACAGTGAGGCTTTCTCTGCTTTTATCTCTAAGAAGTTAGAGGGCTCCTGCACTCATGTTCCTTAGAGATGCCTATAATAGAATTTTACTTTTAACATGATTTTTGAGCTTGCTTTCATTTTTTAAAAAAGAGAACATCATAACAATTTATAACAAAGATGTAAAACTGACAGGAGCCAAACGTAGGAGCTGGGAAAGACAATATATGACACGCACCTAAAACTATATTTCTAGAATGTTTTTAGTCCGGCAATTATTAATGATACATATTTAAGCCCATATCCTCAATATGAACTGTTACTCACTTTGTTACATAATAATTCTTTATCCACAATAAGTATATACAAGCACTATTCTTCAACGTTTTGTTAATTTAGAGAATGCAATGCTTTTGTAGAGCATAAAGAAAAAAATCAATTCTTTCTGTATTTAATTTCAGTCTTGGTAGATCCAAACATTTCAGTGTTAACTTCTTCATACTTCATAAATGCTGTGAGGCAGAGAATAAAATGATAAGTGTAACATTTTATTTTCCCCTTGTATTTAAAAGAAATGACCTTGGTGGTTTCCATCCTAGTTGGTAAATCACCAAAACTAAATGTAACTAGAGTTCTATTTAATATTGTGTCAGGAAATGGACTTGACTAAAATACAGATTAAAAACTGGTCTTATAATAAGGTAAAAACTGGCCTTTTCTTCTAATTTAATTTGTTCTTGGGAGTAAAACATCTGGATAGAAATGCCAGGAAATCATGGTTTTCACTAGCTCTATTGAAAACAGGGCATACAAATAAAAAGTAAGAGAAAAATGAAAATAACAATATTTTCCAAGCAAAAAATTACTATATAAACATTAGGCATGAGATTATGCTCCCATTACAAAAAGGGACAGATTATATTTAAATATAATATTATTAAAATAATTAAAGTAATCCATCTTTAACATATGAATCACAGAACTTAACAAATTCAAAATCCTAATGGGATATAAGTAAAATAAATAAGATTAAAGTAAAAATATATAATAGTATTTTATATACTGAATTTTGCAACTAATTTATTTTACATACATTTAAGTAAATTAATATGAAAGCTGCTACTTTATTTACCTTTGAAGCCATAGAATGGTTCAATAGTTTTACATTTTAATAGTTTTAATTTTACATTGGTTTCCTGCATTTTAAATTTAAAACTTCCTGTTACTGAAGTGCAGTAGATTTTATCAGATTTAGTTAAACTTCTTATGGTTTTTGCCTAGTGAACAGAATTTATAAATAAAGGTAGCCAACCCAATAAACCAAATTGAATAGGGCAAAAGCTGTTGGGAAAAATATTCGAGAATAGGAGTCAATTTTGGCAATGCGTATGTGTATCCTTCCTTCCCTCCATGATCCTGTTCTGCAGTCTTCAAAGCAGCAGAAGAAACTGGCACAATCTTTGCCCTCCAAACACTGGTACCCATAATCCTCTTCTCCATGTGGCAGAGAAATGCTATTCATTGGAATCAGAGTGGATCCAGGATGGAGTCCAGGGGACATCTGAGTAAAATAATAAATGAGTTTTTCAGAAAAAAAAAATCTCATAAAGAAAGATCAGTTTGGCTCCTCAAGGCAAACTCTGCAATAAAAATAATCTTAGTTTTTAGAAATCAGAGAGGTGTTCAATCCTAACGCGTTTTTAGATTATAATTTACTTTGTAACACATAACTTAATATTATTATACATTCCAAAGACCTTTCAGGGAAAAAAAATGCTCAAATGTGCAATATATTGTATACCTTTAGAAAACTGGCCCACCAAAATATTGTTAACCATGAATCTAATTCTAAAACAAAAATATATATTTTACACTAAAACATTTATAATTCTCTAAGCGTCTGTTTGCTACTATTATATTACATAATTTATTTATTTTGGTGATAATGAGAGCAAATAGCAAAGATGGAATTTTGATAATGCAGAAAAGCTTTGAAGAACTGTGAATGAATAAAAAAAGACATGGACAGGGTTTGTAGTAGAGGATAAGTGCAAGGCATCATATTTGGAAGAAACAACATGCAGGAGTTAAAAACTCAGGTTTTTGTTTGAGAACAACTGTGTCCAAAATTTAGTACATTCTACCAATATAGCTAGCCTCATAGTTGGAATTATATCAGCACCTGATTTTTGTGATGGCTGTGATGAGTATATTACATGACTTATTTAAATGATAAGTGCTCCATCTTGCCCACTTATAGCAGCTACTTTTATCAGGATCATGTGGGACCCATATCAAATTAATTTTTTATGATACCAGGTTCCGAATAATACTTATATAATAAAAAAATTTTTAATATTTAAAAATCAAGCAAGTCCAGGATACTGTGAGACATTAAAGCAATCACGTTGGAGTCAGACAGGTTTGGTCAACAATTCCATTTCTGCCCAGCAGAGTTATGTCACCTCGAACAGGAATTGTTAGTGCTCTTCCTTCTGTCTCCGTGTCTTCTGCTGTACAAAAGTCACAGTAGTACACAGATCCATTTGGTGATTAAATGAGATGATGTGCATAAAGCACAAAGCAAAATATGAAACATACAAGTATTCAGCTGCCAATAGGTAATCTTATTGCCATTGCTAGTGTTGATGCCTGTGGGAGACATATCACAATTTGGTATAAAAGACGTGCTAACCAACAATAACAGTAACAACAACAACATGGACCTTATAAAAATGTTACTGGAGGGGCACCTGGATGGCTCAGTCAGTTGAGCTTCTGACTTCGGCTCAGGTCATGATCTCCTGGTTTGTGAGTTTGAGCCCCCAATAGGCTCTGTGCTGACAGCTCAGAGCCTAGACCCTGCTTTGGATTCTGTGTCTCCCCCTCTCTCTGCCCCTCCCCTGCTCATGCTCTTTCTCTCCCTGTCTCTCAATAATAAATAATGTCAAAAATTTTTTTTAATGTTACTGGGAAAAAAATTAATGAACCCTTGAATAAAACAGCAATTAAAATATTAATGAAGATTCCAGTTTCCATAACTCTTCCTTCAGAACTTCTCCATATTTAGGGACTATCTTAAAATGTGAATCCTACAACTTGTAAGACTCATTAATTTTATTACCTAAACACTAAATATAATGCTGAGATCACAAAAATTATTTTAACCTGATCCTAAATTCTTCCTAATGAAAATGTTTACATTTTTTCATCCTGCATTTTGAAAGAGACAAATCTCAAAGCCTTGAATATTAAATATTGTATGGAAAAGATTTTAAAAATTAAACAAAAGAGAATTTAAAAAACTTTGGATCTATACTAAAATCCATTTTATTTCAACAGAAACATAGAAACCAAACTACTAAATGTTAAAATTCAGTAGATGTAAAAAGTAGCAAATAATTACATAGAGTGATATTTTAAAAAGATAAATGCATCACACAAGTCATAATATTAGAAACAAAATGTGCAGCCTAAAGATAAGGAGCAATGCCTTAAACACAAATCAATTCATGACTCCACTTGCCTGGATGTATCATAAAAAGCAGAAGCAGTATATTATTAAATGTTAACGACATATCTTTTCAGGTTGACACTTGGGGATACTTGAATAAGACTCTGAAACTTTAATGGAGCACTAAAATTATGTACAAAGTGAGGCAAATTGGTATTCATTTCTTTGTCACTTAGTACTTAAATAACATATGTTCAAGTGCTAATCAGAGTGGAAAGTGATTAAAATACAAGTTTGTTTGGGGCACCTGGGCAGTTCGGGAGTTCGAGCCCTGCGTCAGGTTCTGTTCTGACAGCTTGGAGCCTGGTGCCTGCTTTGGATTCTGTGTCTCCCTCTCTCTCTGCCCTTCCCCTGTGCACGCTCTGTCTCTCAAAATAAATAAATAAATAAATAAATAAGTTAAAAAATTAAATACAACTTTGTTAATAGGCAATTTCAAGGTTATATGGCACAAAATACATTCCAAATATCCCTCAGCACTGCCATAAATAGGAAGACGGTGTGTTTGTTAGAAGGTATCAGTTGTGTATGAGGGGATGATTAAACATTAAAGTGCACAAAGGTGGAGAAAAACTGCAAGTGGTTAATTTTAAAAATGGACTAATCTGTAGTGTTCAAAATCATGGAGAGCTTCTATTGCAGTGACACTTTAAATGGACAATTTTCCAGTTTCCTGCTGTCCCTCAAAACACCACAAGTCCATAAACCGAAAGAAGCTACACTTCAATGAATGATGGATGTGAACAGAAATATATTTTATATGTGCTGAGAAAAATATCCCAAGAGCTGACACAGTAGCAATAAAACAAAATATTTTGACACACAGATTGTGACCTGGAAACCACTAAAAAATTAATCAGTAGAATATGCACATTCCAATCCTCATTTATCTGAAGTGCAACTTTATTACCCATCTTATAATTTCTCAAGTAAAGGTCCTGTTCCCCCCCCAAAATAGCAAGCATTGAAAAAATTTAAAAAATCAGGTTAAGTGATATAAAAATAAACTACATAATCAAAGTTTTTTTTTTTACTTTAAATAATATAGTTTTGAGAATATACCATTATATTGTTATTTGAAAACGTCACTAAGAATATAGCTGAACTTAACATTACAATAAATTGATCACGGTCTCATTATTAAAGATATGTATGTCTGGTTATATATTAAGGACTACACTATGTAGATATTAATAAAGGAGATAGGTATACAAAATATATTTCAAGCATCAAGACACATTAATGTCAAATAAATATTATTAAGTAGTAAATAAAACATTTATGTACAAATTATATTTATGTATGCTTATATATTATTATTTGTATCATACACTAACATCATTAATGTTATTAAATATCAATAATGTGAATATGAAATATTATTAGGTCATGTTATCAATATTATGAAACACTGACTAATATTACTGTCCTTAATTTCCCATTTAAAACTTTACATGCGAGAATGCCAGCCTGAGCACAGGTTTTCTCAAGACACCGTACTTTTATAAAATCCATTTCAAAACCTACAAAAATCCACATCAGTGTTAACAACAGACGTGAGATGGATCTTAGTGATGCTGAGTGGCCAATCAGCATGTCAGAGTTTGTGCTGTTCCTGAAAGACAAAGAACAGGTGAAAACAAGCCAACAAGCGAAGTGGACCAAAGGAAGCCACATTTTGGAAGAGGCTCAGGAAATGGAAGCATGAGGGGAAGAGCTGTTCTTCCCATCAAAGCTTCAGAGATGCTTACTCTAAAGCAGGAAGAATGGGAATGATAAAACAGGATGGAAAACATGGCCTTTGTGAAATGCCCATCTCCGGAATAGCTACTGCGGTCTGAACCATCACTCATCCACGCATGTAGAAAGTAGAGATGCACACAGGTTGATGTCTGCTCACGTTTAGAACCTTGAAACTTCGACCATCAGATCATCTCATGCCACTCCAGGGAGGATTAGGGCTCCTGAAGTTGGTATTGGAATGTCCTAGTAAAACCCTCATCATCATTTAGAGTGTATGTGTGCATGTTTGGAAGCACTAAGATGTCGTGGTCCCCATCCCCACCCCCACCACGGAAGTGAAATCTGACCCTTGGAAATTCAAGAATGACATGCCAAGCTTGCAGGGCCTATTGGAGAAAAATCGCCAAGAACTTCCAAGGTGAACTTTCAAGATACTAACACTACAAAAGAAAAACATGGAGATGAACAGCTAGAATTACTGATTCTAATAATTCAGGAAACATAAGAGAATATTAACCTTTTGCATTAGTTCACTCAGAAATACTTAAAGAGATAAGTTGTATCCATTTAAGGAAAACAGGATAGAGAGCAGTTAGAAAATAAAAGCTCTCGGAAATTAAGGAAAACATTGTAAATTCAGGAAAAAAAATCTAAAACATTGTGAAATAAAATCTTAAGGAAGGAAGTTGCCCACAATATACAGACAAAGAATGTATCAATAACAAATAGGATAGTAAAAAATAGGATAAAAAAAAGAGTATCTGCAACACATGGATAATTAACCTAGGAGGCCTACGTGTATCTAGTAAGAATTCTATGAGGAATTTAGGAGAAAACAGAAAATAATTGAAATAAAGAATCAAGGAAATACTCAGAAATAGAAGATAGGAATATTAAGTAATGAAATAAATGAGGTAAAAAAAAACAGAGAGTGTACTGGCCCTCAGAAATTTTAACACCATGGAAAAAGAGATGAGATGAAAATTTTCAGGTCAGAAAGAGAAAGATTTACTATCAAAATAATAATCAGGTTGGCATTATAATTAGTGATAATGAATTAAAAGGCAGATATTTAAGTGTATTATTTGAAATTTGAGAAGTAGTCAACAATAGTTATTAAAAGGAAGATAAAATATTAAAGGAAAGCATAAGATGGAGATGGTGGGAAAGCTATATTTTTCTTTTATACCAAAGAGTCACAACTTTAATAAACTTGGTACCTTAAGAATCGGATATATAATGGAAATAATCATCAGAGGAAAGTAAGAGCAAAATGATAAAATGTGGTTAATTCTAAAGACTAG